TATATATATATATATACCACTGTCACCCCTCTTACACGTTCCGCCTCCACCAACTGCCAAGTGCTCATTCTCAGTACTGGCATCTGTTGTATAGCACTTAGGCCCTTGGCCTTTGCAAGCAGAAAACGAGAGTTGAATTCCATGTAGTTTTTATTAAGTATCGCCGTCCATCTTCTCGGGTGTTGTATCCCAATGTGCCCTAACAGGCAAAGTCGAAGCAACCCGCCTCCTAAATAAGACCGACCCAGGATGAATGAGATGACGCGTCACAGAAAGCAGAGATACCTTATGAAAAAACCTCCTGACACAGAGAAGTACAATCATTTTCTGCGTGTGGCGGCAAAGAACCTAACCTCTACGTCACAGATTCCGTTTCTCTTTTCCTTTTGTTTCTGTGGGATTTTTTTTCTTCTTTTTCTTCAGAGATAAGTCATAGCACGTACCTAATAAATGGGCAGGGATGTGTCCAGTTGTTGGCATTTTATCATCTCCGAACTTCGTTCTCAAGTGGCGTCGCACGTAAGCGTGGAGCTGCTCATACAACGGCTGCACCTGTCTCAGTAGCTGGAATACGTCGTCTTCAAACCTATAATCTGGGTCATCTGTGTCGTACCATGAGCGCCAGTAGGCACCATAGTTGGGGAAGTCTGTGGGAACAGAGAAAACGAAAAAAGGCGTCGAGCGGAAAGTAAAATGTCCTTCTTTTTTAAAATCCAGGTACAGGCCTCTGACTTACATAGCGAGTAGAGGCATCAAGTGAAAAATAAGATGTCCTTTAAAAAAAACAAATAATAATCAGGGTAATAGGCTTTAACTTGCATGGTAATTAAAGACATCAAGTGACAAATAGGATGTCCTTTATAACAAACAAAAATTTGGGTACTAAACTTTAACTGATATGAAGATTAAAGGCGTCAAGTGAAAAATAGTATGTCCTTTGTATTATATAAAAAGAAATCAGGGTACTAGCTTTTAACTTACAACAGTTCCTATAGAGCATTCCTATGGAATGAGAAAGGTAAAAAAATATCCAACGATTAATTCAATTCATTCACAAACTGTATTTGTATAACAATCAAATAAGATTAAAAACAAGCGAAGGCCATCATAAACAAAAGCATTTTAAATAGACTACGTTTTGGTTGGATTAATGTGAATTGGTCAGTTTTTTACTTGACCACTTCCATTTTGTAACCTCCGGAGTAGTAAAGCAGAAAAGATAAGGAGTGGGGAGGAGTGGTGTTGTGTGTTTGTGTGGGGGGAAGGGGGGGGGTAACATGTGTGT